ATAAACAGTGAGTCCATAGGAATCACAGATAAAGAGATCGATTCCGGCGTTAATTAACACCTGAAGAGCGTTATGGTGTCCCCATTGGACAGCCATATGAGCGCCGGTTATACCGAGAATGCACTCAATTTTGGCGGAACTGTTCACTTGGATGTCATCTAATGACAGAAGATATTCAATGCATTTGAGCCCAAAGTCCGTGTCTTTAAGACCGACACAAATGTGTAACAAATTCAGTGAATTGTCTTCACTCGCCACCACATTCTCGTTGATGTCATCCAAAGAGTTGACAAATCGTTGAAATTCACTGAAACATGAAATTTAAATGCAATTACAATGAGTGCACTAAATGTGAAGCAATTGTTGTGTGAAATGTATGTAAATAGAAATTACTTGAAGTCTTTGCGATCCAATAGTTTCTCAATGAATTCAATACTCATATCCATCGCGACCACAATCACTGCAAACCTATCACACAATTAGACCACTAAATGATTACATTTCAAAATGTGTTGTTATTTCACACACTCTCTCCCATTGGATAACACATCTCACAGCAACCTAACACTCATTACAGTAACCATTCATTTGTTTAGATTGTGTTATATTAGTCTTATTGGACATTTTGATAGTAATCATAGTAATTGAGATAATAATTATATTTTATTGACTCAATTGTCTACAATTGAAACAATGGTTAAAATAAAATGACAATTAGATGCAAGTGTTGTATCTGCAGCAGAGGTGCAATTGTATGGATGAGTTAATACTGACATCATTGATGTGTGAAGTGTTGACTGAATTTGTCAAATAAGACATTGTATTGAAGGAGTGATTAAACCGATTAACAATTGAATCGGAAGTGAATTCGTAGTAATAATGACAACCAATTCAATGGACAAAACTGATGATAACATTGAGGTATGTATTGATGGACTCTTATATGCATTTGTCTGACAACTGCTCATTGAATGGCAAGTGATGGCAAACATTGAATGATTCAGCAGTTTTTGTATGCAATTTGTGGTCATTTGTAATGATTTGCCGACAATTAGGTGTTGAGTGAAGATGTTCTTCGTATGTCGACCGATGAGGTGGTCGGCCGGACACGACTGCTGGACAACGAGATTAAGATAATGAGGAGTGAAGTGTTGCGAATCAGTCATGAATTGTCGGCACAAAAGGATAAAATCAAAGAAAACACTGAAAAGATAAAAGTGAACAAAACTCTGCCATATCTGGTGTCCAATGTCATCGAACTCTTAGACATTGATCCCGAAGAGTTGGGCGAAGAGGACGGCGCCAACGTTGACCTCGACTCACAACGAAAGGGCAAATCAGCTGTCATTAAGACATCGACGAGACAGGTATTGCTGTGGAGGATGTCATTAGTGTAATGTATGACTGACTGACTGTCGTGTCCCCCAAACAGACGTATTTCCTTCCGGTCATCGGTTTAGTCGACGCCGAGAAACTCAAACCCGGAGATCTGGTCGGAGTCAACAAAGACTCGTATCTCATATTAGAGACATTGCCCGCAGAGTAAGGCTCTCTCTCTCTCTCTCTCTCTCAGAACTATTTAGCCGTCAATTGCTTTACTAATGGTATGATTGTATGACTGAAGGTATGACTCGCGCGTCAAAGCCATGGAAGTGGATGAGAGGCCGACTGAGCAGTACAACGACATCGGAGGTCTCGACAAACAAATTCAAGAACTCATTGAAGCGGTGGTTCTGCCGATGACTCATAAGGAGAAGTTCGTAAACCTGGGAATACAGCCCCCGAAGGGAGTGCTCCTATACGGCCCTCCCGGCACCGGGAAGACTCTGATGGCTCGCGCGTGCGCCGCACAGACGAAGTCGACTTTCCTGAAGCTGGCCGGCCCTCAGTTGGTGCAGATGTTCATCGGCGACGGCGCCAAACTCGTGAGGGATGCGTTCGCTTTGGCCAAAGAGAAGGCGCCGGCTATCATCTTCATCGACGAACTCGACGCCATTGGAACCAAACGGTTCGACAGCGAAAAGGCTGGCGATCGGGAAGTGCAGAGAACTATGTTAGAGCTGCTGAACCAATTGGATGGCTTCAGCTCGAACACCGACATCAAAGTGATTGCCGCCACAAATCGAGTCGATATTCTGGATCCGGCGCTCTTGCGTTCGGGTCGACTCGACCGCAAAATAGAGTTCCCGCACCCGAACGAAGAGGCCAGGGCTCGCATTATGCAAATACACTCCCGGCGTATGAATGTGGACAAGGAGGTCAACTACGACGAGCTCTCGCGCTGTACCGACGACTTCAACGGCGCTCAATGTAAGGCCGTGTGCGTCGAGGCCGGGATGATAGCCCTGAGACGCAGCGCCTCTCAAGTCACTCACGAGGACTTCATGGACGCTATCCTCGAAGTTCAGGCCAAGAAAAAAGCAAATCTTAATTATTACGCTTAAACTCAACATCTTTTGCTCTCATTTCATATTTAATAACATTTTATTAAATTGAATGTAATTTAAGTTTTTATAAAATAAAAGTTAGCTTTCAATCGATAACCAAATCCTCGAGCATTTCCTGGAGAGTGATTTTAGGCGCTTCGGCCTCGAGTTCGTCCAAATCGACAGCCATTCCCGACTCCATCTTCTCTTTGTCGGCATAGATATTGACGTTCTGTCGAAGCATTGGGTCTTCTTCGAGGTCTTCCATGAAGTCCATGTACTCCCTGTTGGCTGAACTGCCATCCGATG